TACTCTTTGGGTAATTCTTCATTGTTCTATGATTTACTGTACTGGTGGCTCTACATTCAGCCCTCAAAGGTGGTCAGTCTGATATGTCTGGCCGATCAGTGAAGGTTGTGCACTGGTAAGAGAAGACACCAAAATGCTTAATCACCCTGTTCCTCAGTTATCTAAATTGGGCCTGCCTAAGAAAACTTGTCATTTGGCAGTATTCATCAGAGACAGAATTGATTGATTAGTAAAAAAAAATGGGGGCATGGTAGGGTAGCAGTGTTCACCAGAGAGAGCATTGAGCATTGATAGATTGTAGGGATAGGGGGTCATAGGGTGACAGTGTTCATCAGAGAAAGTATCAACAGATTGTAGATGTTGGGAGCCATAGTGTGGCAGTGTTCATTAGAGACAGTATTGATAGATTGTGCAAATGTAAATATTGGGAGTCATAGGGTGGCAGTAATCACCAGCAAGGCGGCGGCCGGCGCCCCGCGTGCTTCCGCAACTTTCCCAAGGAGCGCGGGGCGGCACGAGCCCCAGCGGAGGGGACCTGCCGAGTCTGGACTGAGGGGTCGGGAGGCACGTAGATTAGCCGCCCCTCTTGTCATTCACCTGACCCTAGGCCTCCCGCCCAGGGCAGGGGTTCCCCAAGACGCAGAGAGGAGAGGGCGCTCGGAAGACCCCCTGCCTCGCCCGGCTCTGAAGCCTCCTCCCGGGTCCCCTGATGAGTTCTCCAGCCTCTCCACCCTCGGCCCCCACCCGCCCAGCAGTGATTCAGACCTGTGGGCATAGTCCGCAGCTCCAGGAGCTATAAAGCCTCTTTATCAACGTGAAAAAAAATGTACGTGGCTTTCTCTGAAACACGGACACAAAGACCGCTGCTAGCAGGGGCTGCCCCTGTCCAATGCCAGGTCCCCGAGTATCACCAACAGAACCGGTGGATGAGACAAAGTTGAGTCCAGTGCTTCCGAGGTAAAGGAGTTTGGGGTGCTGTCAGAGGGGAGAAAGGCGAGATCAGATTTTATTGAGAATTTGCAGTTTGGTTTAAAGGAAGTCTTTGACAGGAGGGGATTGATAAAGATTGGGTAAGCTCATGACATGATGTAGGATTGTGGGAACAAAGTCCTAGAGCATAAACCGTTAGTGTGTGTGTGTGTGTGTGTGTGTGTGTGTGTGTGTGTGTGTGTGTGTGTGAGAGTATCAAATCTGCCCCAGGCTGGAGTGCAGTGGGACATGGCTCATCACAGTCTTTTTTTTTTTTTTTTT